GATCTGGAATTCCAACTTCCTTAAGAGAGAACTTTTGCCATACATCATCTAATATTACCACATACCTCACTCTTGTCATTATTTCCATTAGTGCTGCTGCTCGCATCATCACCTCTTCATCATCTCGAAGTCTTTGGCCCATATCATCAGCAATCTTCTTTTGTAATTCGAAAACATTGAGACGATCTGATACAGTAACCCAGATCACTTTCTCAAATCTAGTCTCCCTTAGTAAATCATTGTGGAGATTCTTCATGATCATGGTCTTTCCAACTCCACCAATCCCACAAACTCCAATCATTCCAACCTCATCACCCATCAAGTACCTCCAAATTTCTTCTTTAGTAGAAACTTGCCCCACTAAATTCTCTGTTGGAATTATGTTTCCATGAGCTAGAGCCCTCTCAATAACAAGGCCTTTAGGAAAACTACCTTTATCAAGCATTTCCTTCACCATATTAATTTTTCTACAAACAAGTCTGTCAAGACAAGCACGCTTGTACCACTTGACTCCCTGCACCTTTTCCAAAAATGCTTGCAGTTTAACATTGATCTCTTCTGCTTGCTTAAGCCATTCTTGCACTTGTTGTCTAACCATTTGTCCCCTGCGAGCCTCTGCTTCTTGTATTCTTGATTCTATATCTTGTTTCTGGCTAGTTAGATTGTCCAATTTTCTTCTCAGCTCATCCACATCATCATTAAAATTTCTATGTTGATCTATACAGTTGCAGGTTGGAGTACCACAAATGCAACTCAATGCACCGAATATTGCTCCTACTATTTCCGCCATTAAAAAAGGTCCTGAAACATAATAAATAATGTGAATAAAAATATACCTCTTCTAGTGTTCGTCAATAGAAAATTTAAAAGCATAAATAAACAATAAAAAAAAGTTAAATTAAATTACCAATTCCTTCTCATCAAAATAACTTACAAATTCCAACCATATATAGGAGGTATAAAACCATACATTACCAAAGGAAATGGGAAACAAACAACTATATATATTATGTAAATGAATAAGCTAGTTGAAATACTAATTTTATTCCTTTTGCCTCCTTGTTTGGCGGTAGATATATTCATCCAATTAAATAAATATGCTAATGGCTTAAGTAATGAACAAGGTTTCAAACTCTCACTAAATTCATAATTGTCTCAAAATTCTATTTTTCTCAAATAAAGCACCAAAGTAATTGAAATTCTCAAATAAAGTCACAATTAGACATAAACTGTTAGGTCTAACATTGTTAACACTAAGTGACTATTGACTAAATATCCATTTAGAGTTGTTAATAATTGAAAAGTTCAGTTAATTATACTTGTTATGCCGTCAAACACATTTTTTTGGGAACATATCATCACTTTTATCATTCAGAACCAGTGCTAATTAATTGAAAATTTTCAATTTAATTTGGGTTAGTATTCAAAATTAGCCAAAACTGCATATTTTAAAACTTAGCTAAACATTGAATAAGGTCCCGTACTTTCACTAAATTCACAATTGAGATCCCAAAATTCATTACGCTCAAATAAGGTTTTGAAATAAGGTTCAAATTGGACAAAAATTATTATTTGTTAAATTAGTCATTAATGTGGTTAATTATTCTAATTGGTTAAATATCTAAAATCCATGATCCCTAGCCTTTCTATTTTATCTTGTAATAACCTTAAAGGTTTCAATTACCTTGAAATGCTTCTTGAACTTATTTGTTTTATTGATGTGGCAATTTTGTTATAATTAAAAATTAACTTTTTATTTTAATTACATGACATTTATGTGGCCTATTATAAAATAGTTGCATTATTATTTTTTAGAATGCTAACAAACAAATTATATCAATTAATTTGAATTGCTAGCCATAAAAAAATAGTTAAATCAAAAAAGAACAAAGGAAAGACGGCATTATAGACAATTTACAAATTCATTATCATTTATATAATAAATAAAATAAAAAATTAGGTTTCATCCAAAAAAGAGAGAGAGAGAGAGAGAGAGTAGGTTATTTAGGTATGTTAAGTATAATTATGGTTTTTAGTTTTGGTTTTCAAAATTCAAACAATCAAAATTAAAAATGAAAATTACCGACTTAGTGGGTATAAAATTTAAAAATGAATATCCAAAACTCTAAATTTATTCAATTTATAGAAATTCTTAATTTGATTTTACGATTTCTAAATTTTTTATTTTCAATGGTTGCAAAATTTTTAGAAACCAAAATTAAAAACTCAAAACCAAAACCATAGTATAGTTATAATTTTTGGTTTAAATAAATTAACTTAAATAACCAAATATGTAGCTCTAGTTAACAGTAGGCAAATTTTGCAACTACTGAAAAAACTATACTAAAGATCAAAAACTAACAATTTGCTTAAGAAGAATTTTTAATTCTAACTACAAAAAAAATAAATTTATATAATAGTATTAAACTATTTTTGTTCTTATTTTTTAATAATTTTGATAATATGTTATAAAAACACATGAAAGTAATTGTAG